AACACTGTCACCATATGCAACAAATATGAAACTGTTTGTAAACAAAGATGGCTAGCCGAGGGAGATGATTCCATGACAATATCAATTCAGGAGGCAGCACATTACAAACTGGACAAGAAGAAGCTGTCATCAATAGCCCCCACTCAAGTCAAAATGACATGCCCAGTTATACTAAGTGGTATACTTAACAATTGTGAATGGTACAGAGTGCACTGAAGGTGAGTCAAGTATAATACATGTTTCATTTAACAGTAACCCATATATGGGCAAAACAATTCTTCGTGACCAGCTGCATGGACAGACTCTGTTTCTATATTCAACTTTAATGAGCTGGGAATAGTACAATAATAACAACCTTACTACATATTTACAGCTTATCACCGCGTACACATATCTGATCTCAAGGTTATCTTATTCATGATTCACTTACTCAGAGTGCAGGATTTCTGTATGATTTTTAGTATTTTTGGGTATGACTGTACAGTAAGTAGACCACATCTTAACTGAAGGATTCTAAAACAATAAGTAAAAGTTATTGATAATTTCAGTATCCCATCCCTAGTTTATCGCAAATCCCGACACAGGCAATTCAAAAAGATAAAAAGAAAGAATCATGATATAATACGATATATTATATAACATTGCAGCCCTAGTGTTGTTTGTTTGTTTGAGTGGTTTTACGTCCGCTTCACTACCAAGTTAATCAGTTATCTAGCAGACAAACCATTTGTTTGTGGTGGTTTTACGTCCGCTTCACTACCAAGTAGTTCAGTTATCTAGCAGATAAACCATTTGTTTGTGGTGGTTTTACGTCCGCTTCACTACCGAGTAAATCAGTTATCTAGCAGACAAACCATTTGTTTGTGGTGGTTTTACGTCCGCTTCACTACCAAGTTAATCAGTTATCTAGCAGACAAACCATTTGTTTGTGGTGGTTTTACGTCCGCTTCACTACCAAGTAAATCAGTTATCTAGCAGACAAACCATTTGTTTGTGGTGGTTTTACGTCCACTTCACTACCAAGTTAATCAGTTATCTAGCAGACAAACCATTTGTTTGTGGTGGTTTTACGTCCACTTCACTACCAAGTTAATCAGTTATCTAGCAGACAAACCATTTGTTTGTGGTGGTTTTACGTCCACTTCACTACCAAGTTAATCAGTTATCTAGCAGACAAACCATTTGTTTGTGGTGGTTTTACGTCCACTTCACTACCAAGTTAATCAGTTATCTAGCAGACAAACCATTTGTTTGTGGTGGTTTTACGTCCACTTCACTACCAAGTTAATCAGTTATCTAGCAGACAAACCATTTGTTTGTGGTGGTTTTACGTCCACTTCACTACCAAGTTAATCAGTTATCTAGCAGACAAACCATTTGTTTGTGGTGGTTTTACGTCCACTTCACTACCAAGTTAATCAGTTATCTAGCAGACAAACCATTTGTTTGTGGTGGTTTTACGTCCACTTCACTACCAAGTTAATCAGTTATCTAGCAGACAAACCATTTGTTTGTGGTGGTTTTACGTCCACTTCACTACCAAGTTAATCAGTTATCTAGCAGACAAACCATTTGTTTGTGGTGGTTTTACGTCCACTTCACTACCAAGTTAATCAGTTATCTAGCAGACAAACCATTTGTTTGTGGTGGTTTTACGTCCACTTCACTACCAAGTTAATCAGTTATCTAGCAGACAAACCATTTGTTTGTGGTGGTTTTACGTCCACTTCACTACCAAGTTAATCAGTTATCTAGCAGACAAACCATTTGTTTGTGGTGGTTTTACGTCCACTTCACTACCAAGTTAATCAGTTATCTAGCAGACAAACCATTTGTTTGTGGTGGTTTTACGTCCACTTCACTACCAAGTTAATCAGTTATCTAGCAGACAAACCATTTGTTTGTGGTGGTTTTACGTCCACTTCACTACCAAGTTAATCAGTTATCTAGCAGACAAACCATTTGTTTGTGGTGGTTTTACGTCCACTTCACTACCAAGTTAATCAGTTATCTAGCAGACAAACCATTTGTTTGTGGTGGTTTTACGTCCACTTCACTACCAAGTTAATCAGTTATCTAGCAGACAAACCATTTGTTTGTGGTGGTTTTACGTCCACTTCACTACCAAGTTAATCAGTTATCTAGCAGACAAACCATTTGTTTGTGGTGGTTTTACGTCCACTTCACTACCAAGTTAATCAGTTATCTAGCAGACAAACCATTTGTTTGTGGTGGTTTTACGTCCACTTCACTACCAAGTTAATCAGTTATCTAGCAGACAAACCATTTGTTTGTGGTGGTTTTACGTCCACTTCACTACCAAGTTAATCAGTTATCTAGCAGACAAACCATTTGTTTGTGGTGGTTTTACGTCCACTTCACTACCAAGTTAATCAGTTATCTAGCAGACAAACCATTTGTTTGTGGTGGTTTTACGTCCACTTCACTACCAAGTTAATCAGTTATCTAGCAGACAAACCATTTGTTTGTGGTGGTTTTACGTCCACTTCACTACCAAGTTAATCAGTTATCTAGCAGACAAACCATTTGTTTGTGGTGGTTTTACGTCCACTTCACTACCAAGTTAATCAGTTATCTAGCAGACAAACCATTTGTTTGTGGTGGTTTTACGTCCACTTCACTACCAAGTTAATCAGTTATCTAGCAGACAAACCATTTGTTTGTGGTGGTTTTACGTCCACTTCACTACCAAGTTAATCAGTTATCTAGCAGACAAACCATTTGTTTGTGGTGGTTTTACGTCCACTTCACTACCAAGTTAATCAGTTATCTAGCAGACAAACCATTTGTTTGTGGTGGTTTTACGTCCACTTCACTACCAAGTTAATCAGTTATCTAGCAGACAAACCATTTGTTTGTGGTGGTTTTACGTCCACTTCACTACCAAGTTAATCAGTTATCTAGCAGACAAACCATTTGTTTGTGGTGGTTTTACGTCCACTTCACTACCAAGTTAATCAGTTATCTAGCAGACAAACCATTTGTTTGTGGTGGTTTTACGTCCGCTTCACTACCAAGTTAATCAGTTATCTAGCAGACAAACCATTTGTTTGTGGTGGTTTTACATCCGCTTCACTACCAAGTTAATCAGTTATCTAGCAGACAAACCATTTGTTTGTGGTGGTTTCATTTTATCAACTTTCTATCAATCACAATATGATTGTTTTTGTTGAAAACAATACATCTACTTGCAAATTTAGGTAGAATACAAAGTAGGATTCTAATTTCAATAAATAAATTTTGTGTCAAATTGATTCTTTTAAGATGGAATACCAATTAGTTCCTAAAATGTAACAATGCAAAGTGTTGTGAACAGAACCAGTCTTCTATATTCAAAAAAACTTTTGACAAAATTAAACAAAGGGCTATAACTCAGATTTCAGTATGCAACACTTTTTTGTTTTTCCCAAGGAAGAAAAAAATCTGGCTGCTTTAGGATCTAGCAGACAATATGAGATGTGCCCGGGACAAGTAGACATATGGAAGGACGGACAGACTGATTAAGAGTTAGGAGACAAACATATAATACCATCCAATTGTACAGTTGCATGTTAGGGACTTATAACAGAGTTTCAGAACTGGTAGGTCTCCACAGGAAATCGGGAGCCATATTCTTTCACTTGATTATGTGAGACTCCGTAACATTTGGCGTATCTTCAAATGTATGATATTATTGAACAGCATACATTTTTACTTGAATTTATAAGATTTGGAACAATCAGTGTAACTTAAAATGTCTGAATAACTAGATACTGAAAAGACAAAACAGCTATGGTTAATGTTTACGTAGCACAGAGGTTCCACAATTTCCATAAATACTACCAAAGGAAGTTTAATGTAAAGATAAGTGCCAAAAAATGAAAGAAAAAATGGCGCCTATAATTTAAGCATTATCCCATCATTCAATGTAAAGCTAAAATTTGATTCAAACAATTCACATGAAACACTGAGAAGTCTATAAACTAACCAATAAATGTGTTTTAAAGTTGTTTATATATTATGTATGTAACAGGTAGATTTACTATGTAGGTTTGGGTAGAAGTTACCTTGTGTATTCGTGTTAATGTTATCGTTTATCCAGTGTCGTTAGTAATAGACCAGAAGTTTATTTACTTTCGCTACTGTAGGGTATTTTTGTAAACGTTATGTAATCCTGTTTCTTATTGGTTAATATATTGGGTATGATGTTGCGGAAGGGTATAAATAGCCAAGTGCATGTGTGGTTCGTTAGCCAGATGGATGCATTTTTATCACATATATGGGTTTCACTGATTCTTGGAAATTTTGTTATATTTTGTAGTTAAATTTAAAATGGTAAGTGAAATATTCACAACTTGATGATTTTTTTTGTACACTGCAAATTTCGATTTTTACATTTTATATTTCGGTAAAAAAAATATTTAAAACATCTGACTTTTTTTTATTTGTAAAATAAGCGAACAGGCCAGCCAAGAACTACGGTTAACATTTGTAAATAGATCAATGTTGAAACAGAAACTTTCCCTTGCTATCAATCTCCTTCCTCATAGCTTGTGTTTTTGGCAAATATCTGAAAGAAATATTAAATATAGTGCCACTGTAAGGGGCTATATTAGGGTTGTAATACATTATGTATTAAATGGTAAATTTCGTTGATGGTGGTGAAATCACATCCTGTGATTGCAGGGAAGTTGCTTACAGTATAAATCAAAATGACCATCAGCTTGTGTAATTATATTTTTTTGCCTTGTATAACCATAACTGCAGCATTGCAATAAGCATGCATGCAGCCTATTCACATTTTTAAAATTTGTTAAGCATGCATTTAAAAAAAAAATGAATTGAACTTGAAGGGAAAGAGGAAAATGAACTAAGATATTTTAATCTTTGATGAGGTCTACACAAGAACAAAAAAAAAACAGCTACAGCCAACGTTTCCTGATGGATAGCTACAAATATGCCATTTACCCATAATTCACATTAAAGCATGCATGTTTTACCTGGGTTCGTTTGTACCGCCTGAATCTCTGGAGGGGCTGACGAAGTAGACAGGGAAACCAGGTAAGTAATTACACACATATAAACATTGATTTATCACATGATTATTGTGTGTTATGCAGTGAAAAAACTGTCATATTTTTGCGTATGACCCACATCATAATTATATGACATCTTGTGACGTCATCAAATGATAATGATGACAGCCATGACATAAGATTATGACATCAAAATAGAGGCAATAGATATAGAGCCAAAATGGAAGAATTTTAGACTTCAAGAGTGACATGGAAAGCTTGTCGCAATAATTGCAAAAAATCTTAATCACGTGATAAAAAAATCTTAAATTCATTTCCATTTTCATATCAGATTTATGAAACTGAAACTCAAGTAAGATCCTATTTGTAAACCACATGTGTATCACACACATACACACACATGTGATATCACAGCAGAGCAAGCCTCTGAAGACACACATATCAGGTCACATGCAAGTAAATTTATAAAACACAAGACACATTTAATACAAACATATGGACAAGTATCAGAGGAAACGTAAGTAAGTTTTAACTTCTCTGTAAGGGGTATAAAAACAAACAGTGCCGTTATCAGCCAAAACTAAGTCCTTTCTAAAGAAGAATACTGGATTGAGACCATCTCAATATGCAAACACTGAAACACAATTTCTGCAATCAAAAGTCATAATTGTGTATATATGGAATTACACATGCATTTACATTACTTGTGTAGTTTACAGTGAAAAATCTCACTTTAACAGCAATCTTAATTTAGTGTGTCGTCTTTGCGCATAATTACTGCTAGGAGTTTTTATTAGATGCTTTGGATATTGTAAACTGTAAACTTGTAAACAAAAAATAAATTGGTCTTTTGATGTAATTATGTTAATACTGTATTTAAAAGAATATGTATTTTTTATTGTTTTGTATCTTTGCAGATCTATAAAGAATTGAAATAAAATGTTTCTGTTGGAAGAAAAGTTGATGTTGTTTAGGACTGTGTTTTGAGTGGAAGAAAAGTTGATGTTGTTTAGGACTGTGTTTTGAGTCTGTTAAGTCGCATGCACTGCAAGCCGTACCCTGTAGTCAGGGCATGTCACACATCTAATGATAAACACACAAGAAATTGTTATAATCTGCTGATTAAAGTTCAAAGGCAAATTGATGTCAAATTTATATTCATAAGGTAAACAAACCTTCAAGATCACCAATCTATATCTATAACCTTATTAAGTCTCATCTAACTATATCTGCCACCTGTCTATAACAACCACCTTTCTATAAAGATATCTTTCTATAATGATACTATTTCTAAAGCAAACATCTGTCCATAACAACCACCTGTCCATAACCACATTTCATAGATAATCACTGTCTATAACAATCACTGTCTATAGCAATCACTCTCCATAACAATCACTGTCTATGACAATCACTCTCTATAACAACCACTGTTTAAAACAACCACTGTATATTACAAATGTCTGTCTATAACAACCACCTGTCTAAAATGGCACACTTCGATACCACCTTTCTATATAAACCTACCTATAGTGCCACTTCTCTACCACAAGTATCTGACCATAACAACCATCTGTCTTTAATGACACATTTCAACAATGAACACCTTTCTATAACAACCACATTTCAAAGACAATCACTGTCTATAACAACAACCTGTCTACAATGACCACCTTTCTATAACAACCATCTGTCCATTACAACCACCTGCCCAAAACAACCGCATTTAATAGACAATCACTGTCTAAAACAATCACTGTCTATAACAACCAGTCTATAACATCCACTGTATATAACAATCACCATCTATAACAATCACTGTATATTACAATTACTGTCTATAACAACATTCTGTTTCTATATCAATGCAAAATTGAAATAAACCCATCAATCAAATGTGACAATTCATGAATAACATTGCAATCCTCAGCACATACAACTACACATTATGCTTCTCTTTTTCCCCCAGAAAAGACATTCCTAGCATATTTCCGTAGTATTATATCTATACAGTCGGATTGTGACACATGCAGGTAAGAAACAAGTTATTGATTTAGCACTGGGTCAACAACCACTATCTGGTGTTATATACGTAACAGGTTGTCAGGACATGACATACATCCCATAATAACAACAATCCTACTCCTGATCCTCTGTATCTTTCCCTGACTCAAAGTACACAAGTGATATCCAAATGTTGTTGTTATGCTATAACAATAGGCAGTTACCCTTTATTCTCCTTCTCCTCCCCTTGAACATCCAATTACATTCTTAAATTCCCTCTAAGACTTTTTTAAATGCTTACTGATCAAATCGTAGCAGTTCTATTTTTTACAGACTTAGGCCGAATTTGTTTATCGCGATCCAAACGGTTGAATCTGTTGGACCAGATATGTTCGTTTATGATATAAGTTTGAACCTAGTAATATGTTGCTGCTTTCAGGCAAGCCTTGACATAGCCTTGCAAGGCCTGCATAGACACTAGCAGGTATGTGTACACCAGGACATATACCCAAAAAAGTTACATATACAACACACAATCTGGTTGATACAAGATCAAATACAGAGTTCCTTCCCGGCTATAACACTTGTATAGCTGTAGTCTACAAAGACAACAACAGGACACCGATCAACCTTTGATTTGTTGATAAGATTCAAAACATTCATTAACTGGCCCAGATTAATGTTGTTTATATCTGTCTATTCAACCTGATCCTACTTGAACTTTCAAATTTTTTTTAGGACAAAGGGATGTGAAGCCTGATTGAAACTGCTACAATGATGAAACATCTAAGACTTTTGAAGATTTCTGTTTGGACATTTCAATGTTTTCTTGCAGAACAGTAAAAATTAAGAAAAAATTATATTTTGCAGATATTGATTAACTTTATGTCTCAACTATTTATGTATACTGTAGGGAAGAAAACAGATCGGCACATCTTGATAGAATCATTTATATTACACTGACAATTGGCCATGGACACGACATAACAGATTAACTACCTAATTTGAGATTCTATTTTCAAGAGTTCTTGTGGGCATCATGATTAACCCTTTCACCACTGTAGACCATAATGGACTCATCCAGTTCAATGCATGGTAGAGTCTACTAAAGTTACATAGGGTTGAAAGGGTTAAATATAGTACCATTACTACCATGTATGACCTTTAGTTGAAAAAAAACCCTCAATAATAAAGGTATGTAAACAGAAACTAGTTTCAGGTTTGATATCTCCATCACCAATACTTAACTCATTCACCCCTGAAATTTCATAATGAACTATTCCAACCTTTGAATTGGAAGTGTTCAAGTGTGTCTTCTGGGAGGAATGCGTTAAAGCTAAAAGTACATTAAATAAAGAAACACTGACTTATCATACAATTTATATTTGTCTTCACCGAGACATCCGCTCAGAAACACTAATTGTCAGACTTTTTTCCCGTTATGAGAAAGGACTTATCATTTGACAGCTGTTATATATCAACTCTGACCTATTCAAGGCCACGAACTTCAACAAGAACTAACAGTCTAATGGGAACATTGGTTTGACATGAAACAATTACAAGAAAAAGCTATTCAGTCTAATGGGAACATTGGTTTGACATGAAACAATTACAAGAAAAAGCTATTCAGTCTAATGGGAACATTGGTTTGACATGAAACAATTACAAGAAAAAGCTATTCAGTCTAATGGGAACATTGGTTTGACATGAAACAATTACAAGAAAAAGCTATTCAGTCTAATGGGAACATTGGTTTGACATGAAACAATTACAAGAAAAAGCTATTCAGTCTAATAAGAACATTTGTTTGACATGAAACAATTACAAGAAAAAGCTTTTCAGTCTAATAAGAACATTTGTTTGACATGAAACAAGAACAAGCTATCATTATTCGAGGGAGATTCCATAATCTCAAATTTAGATACATAAATAAAATGTTTTTGTGTACCCCCTAGGTAATAACTAACATTTTAAAATGACATGATTCTAGTTGTTCTTTCAAATAAAATCATTAGATCCTAGATTAAAAAAGAACATTTTCAGCAAATTCACTTGTTGGAAATGTTAAAATATTTAAGTGTCCAAATTCTGGAGTCTCCTCTCTAAATTGGGAGAGCTGGCAAGTATGGTATATGATGATTTATTTATTTCTAAGAAATGACCATGAATCTAACCTGGCATACCATATCTGTCTTGAGTTGGGGTGTTGCATACTCAAATCAGGTATCTTGTCCAACTATAAACAGAGTTACTGCCCTTTGTTTCTTTTTTCATACCAAAGTTCACTTACGATTAACAAACTTGCAATATTTCTGAATTTTGAAATTCTGAATTTACATCTTGTATCCATAATATACAAAATTCCAATCCAAAGTATGTTTAGAGCATGCCTTTTAATCTTGCTCTTACCTACCTACATCAAACTTGTGATATACACTTATATGTGTTAGAAAGGAAGAATGCTGCAAACTTATTTTGTGTTTTGCTCGTTTCTTTAACCATACTATGGACCTTTATTCAGTTTTGAAACATCTTTTCGGTTTAAAATGTTTGAGAGCACTGAGCAGCTTAATTGAAGCAATCCCAATACAACCTTATAGGTTGTTTTTTTTAAAGCAATGCCATATTACTATATCTTGTCTATACTGCCCTCTACTAAAGAAATTAAAGAGGCTGGTCGGGAAAACAATACAAAATAAATGGGTCTAAATGGGTTCTCTGGCCTTCCAAAGTTATACCACGGCAATATGATGGTCGAGTTCTGCTTGCAATGTCCAGTTTTGACCACTGAAATTTCGGGAAGCCCCGCGTAAATTTAGCGAAGATCTATTTATATATGTCACGTTGTTGTTTCGAAAGTGAGGCAGTGAAGATAACGTGTGCCATGTCAGACTCAACTAGCGGACAAGACAGCAAGACTATACGTAAATAATTGTTCTCAAAGGTCATGTATGATGCAAGTGAAGTATTCCTACCTATATGTTGTTGAAATATATAACGGTATTGATACCCCGTGCCTGTCATGACTTTTGCATGCATCTTTTTCTTTTGACGCGATGTTTACATTTGGCCTTGTTGATGACACGCGTGCGGTAAAATTACATCACTGATCTTGGTCAATTGAGAGTTTTAGACTGTCAGGTGACGATTTAGGATTTCTTTGATATAATTATAGTTTTTACTCTTAGGGACTGAATTTCAGCAAAATTTGAATCAGTATATTTCATAAGAAGGCATTTCAAACATGTGTATGCCATTTTAGCAAATATCACATTTTTTCCCCGACCAGCCCCTTTAAGTATGGCAATTCATTGAAAGTGTTTCCCAATCCCAGCTCAATTCATCACTTCATGAACTTGATCATAATATATTCAAGCCTTCAGTAAAATATCTAGGTTTTCTACGATTTACAGACGATTCAATATTACAAGAAACACTTACAGACAATTTCTAGGACTTTTTATATACTTTCAAAGGCACAGGTTCCCAATAACAATAAATACTTGGAAAGGAATAGGTGCACTGTACACTGATCGTAACACTAATGTGACCAACAATCCACGCAACAATATCAACCTCTCAGGACACTCCATCATACTGAATCAAATACAGTTACAGAAACGAAAGGTTACAAAAACTACACAATCAGGACATGTAAGGGATACACAATATTTTGTTTACCGGCCTCCGCAGTGATTCTCCAGCGATGATTGGAGAGTTCGCATCCCCATTCCTTGTTCTCTTTCGACTGCCCGATGACATCTTTGCGCCACCTGTCAGAAAAAGAAAAGAAAAAATCTGGTTCATCATATTTTGAGTCAGGTTTAGAAACTTTTTCATGTACCAAGAAGGAATAGATGAAAATTCAACATTTGATATAAAAGAAAAATTATCTATCTCCTGACTACTTTCCTGTTTGCCAAACCTCTAATTGGGTGCAAACCATCAGTCAAATTTTAGGAGACATGATGATGACAACTTCAATATGCCTAATTCAGCCCCTTTTTAACCACTTTGCTATTTTTGCCTAAAGTGTCTCGAGTTCATTGAAGGACAATACAAAATCATTCCTAACCTTAAACACTTCAAAACCTTCCTTATGTACTTGAGTTAATAGCTCACCTCAATCGTTTGGTTAAAACTTTGGCGAACGCAACATAAAGACTTTCCATACAAAGCTTTATAGACGTAAATATTGCCCTGTGAAATTTATCCTAGATATGCAAATATGATTGAAAAATCCACATGTGGTAGTGGTGATCTAAACAAGAATGCGACTCATTTTTGCTTGCAAGTTGTAGACATTTAATCACAGTAAGACTAAACTACTTCCAAACTTAGGTTCACTGAGAGGAAACGTGTATATTTTCTGCTTTTCAGTGTATTTTTAGACCCAAAGGCTATAAATATGTTTAAATACTGAAAGGGCTTACCAGTATCTTTTTAATTCTTTTTCCAGATATTTTCTGTTGAAAGCATTGCATGTTAATCATTGATCCATAAAACCACTAAAATTTCTACATAAAGCATGTTGTGGATACAGAAATCCTGGTAGTTAATCCAATTACATGTTTTACTCGTGTACAAAATGATTAGAGAAACTCAGCTTCAAGATAAATATCGTAGACATGTACCAAGAAATGCACCCTTCACATTTAATTACTATGTAAATTCTTTTGTTTACAAATATTCGCTGTAATGATAAATTTGCCCTAATAACTGAGGGCAAAAAAGAAGGAGAAAATACTAAACTGCTCAAAATATTTCCAGGTATACAGTCAAACCTGCATGAGCGGTCACCTGAAATAAGCAGCCACCTCCCATATGTGGTCAGTCTGTGGTCCGCCCGATAGAAAAAACTATATAATGAGCCTGAAATAAGCTGCCACCTGCAGTCAAAGTGAGTGTCTAATGCGGCCAGTGATCACAAAACTCTGGACCGAGACGTTATCTTCACCTGTATTCAGCGGTCAATTTGTCTAGAAATTGACATCAAGAAGATCAAAATATTAACACAACACACATCTCAATTGAGCATAGCTAATTACAATGTGTAGTTAAAAACCATAGGTAAGGTTTGACACGTTGAATTGACAAGTTGTTTACACAGCGATTTTCAGCTTGCAAATTGGGGCAGGTCTGAACGATCCATCAACAATGGGTTACACACAAAACAATTAGTCCCACCTTGTGTACTCAATCAGCTTGTGATTTTCAAAACGAGCGTGATCTTTTGTGGTATCTGTACATTCTGTATCCAAAGCTTCTCAGGCCTAATATGTTACGTGATCAAAAAACTTGTCGCTACATTGCATGCGGAAAACAGATCTGCTTCCTGTCTGCCAGTCAAAACTTGCACTATGAATAAAAATTACCTTAGGGTAAGTTTTAAAACTATTCTGTATGACCAATTTATACAACAATGGAATACTGATATTGAACATTCTTTCGGGGTCAAACATATGCAATATTTAAACATCAATTTCAGTTTGAAAAATACTAAACTGTGCTCAAATAAAAAGATAGAATAACTATCTGTAAGTTCAGAACCAGTAATATATCTCTGCCAATAGAGACTGGGCGATGGACTAGAACACCACGTGAAGGCAGAATCTGTCCGCTTTGTTTTAATGGAGTTGGAAGCGAGTATCATTATTTGTTTATGTGTGCAAATGCTTATGTAAGTCAAATCCGCAGAAAATATTTATTATACCTCTAATCCATCTGTTCATAAAATGAAAGGATCAATATGCAATGTTAGAATATTATCAAATCTATAGCTGTTCATACAATTACTAGAAAGACAATTAAAAGGAACAATATGTGAATTTCACACATATAGATATTACTGATCATTTTGTAAAACCTAACATAATTGTATTGTATATTGAGTGTGGTTACAGCTTGTTTATCATGGTTTGTTTGTTATCCGTCTATTACAGTATTGTATGATGGGATTGTAACACTGTCTATTATACCTTTGTAATATTATATGGTATGATGAGTATTATAGTCACTATTATGCCATGGTATGATTGCACTGTATGGTGTGGTATACTATCTATAATACATGTATCATGGAGTGCGAGTAATTTATGTGTAATACTGTAATAATATTATTGTAGGTACTGTAAGATGGATGCAACAGTGCCTGCTATACCACTGTGTGAATGCATGGTATGTGAGAATGTAATGCTATGTATTATACCATCGTAATAGTATTGTAAAATGAGTGTAATGTATATCAGTGTATGATGAGTATCATTGTATGAGCAGTGCCTTACATTGTCTATTATAATAAGGTATGCTAGTACTATGAACAGTGTAATATTGTGTTTATCATTGTATAAGCAGTGCAGTATATTGTCTATTATAATAAGGTATGATAGTACTATGAACAGTGTAATATTGTGTTTATCATTGTATAAGCAGTGCGGTATATTGTCCATTATAATAAGGTATGATAGTACTATGAACAGTGTAATATTGTGTTTATCATTGTATGAGGAGTGTAATAGTTTCCACTATATTATTGTAAGCTAGCATAGTAAGATGAGTGCTTTAGGGTCAACCATATCATTGTTATAGTGTACTTTATGATGACCTCTTGTTGCGCAGAATGGTGTGCCTGAGTGATAATAAAAATCTCTGTCACTATTTCTATATCAACGAAGCACACGTCATGTCAAAAGGATAAATTTCACAGCACAGACGCTGAATCAGATAATTTTTTTCAGCACTATGTCATGATTTATTTCTATAATATATTTATTTGGTTTGTAGTAGCTGTGCGAGATCAGAACATTAGTGNTTTTCATTAAAAGTAGATCTACATGTAGATTTTCATTAATAGTAGATCTACATGCAGATTTTCATTGNCAAATTTCTAGATTTATTGAGTGATTTATTTATAAGTGATGAATTAACTAAATACTAATATATCATTTCTAACAAAATTATTTTAACCACATACATGTAGATCAGAATACATCGCAATGCAGATTTTCATTAATAGTAGATCTACATGTAGATTTTCATTAAAAGTAGATCCACATGTAGATTTTCATTAAAAGTAGATCTACATGTAGATTTCAGTACCGGTGGTTGTCTGCTAGCGCAAAACGTATGTGGAACACGTGTGTAGCCAAACAAAAATAAATTCATCATTTCAAGAAATTAATCACCAAAACGCCTTTGTATTTTATTGATTATGCATTTATATTCAAGTATGAAATCGTACCCTTGTTGATGAAGGGAGAAAAATTCAAAATAATATAGCAGCCTATATTGCCGGGAAAATGTCATAACCCGTGAATGTATGAAAACTTGGTTGTGATTTTCGGGTGAGGCTGGTTTTAGCAGCCACCTGTCTTAAGCGGACAATTTCTGCCAGTCCCTTGGGTGACCTCTTAATACAGGTTTGACTGTATATTGTATTGGAACCATCAAATAATACTTCATAACATGTGAAACAAGCGAGGCACTATATGTTCAATCAGAATGAAACATTATAATAATTATGTAGAGGATTTACAGGGACTCCATTACGTCACAGGTACATGTAAGTGTAGTAGATGCAGACTTTTTTGTAGGCAAATTTCTACTTGTCTTATTGAGGAAAGGAGCTCTAGATCTAGTTGAAAAGAATTGAAGGAGGTGTTGGGCCCTTCCAGACAACATAAACAAGGATGTATCTATTTATTTAACATCGCTCCAGGAGTAGAGCCAACGTCATTATTTTAGTTCAGGTTCGGTTGGTTCCGTTTATCCCTTGCCTGGATACCAACCAGTATGCAGGGCGATTGAAGAATAGGGAAAACTAAGAATAGGTGTCAATCGCAACAAGCTCGGGATCAATTGAATTTTCTTTATTAGGATACGTCTACCGGTTTTGCCTGAACAGTGGGCTTCTTCAGGACGATTAAACGACAGAATTGGTCCCTTGAAGTACTAAAATTCAGGAAACAATTAACGTCACATGATCATATCTATTTTTAACGTTCTATAATGTTCCATCGCGGTTATTTTGAGTGAATGAGCATTTTCTAGTCAGTAGTATCTGAACACATTAATTTGTTACATACAATTCACTGATGAATTTTAGTTCTGCTTAAGTATCTCTTTCGCCTATGAACACTATTGCCATGTATTGAAGTGTTCAAGTTCATACTGTTGATGTAGATTGTGACTTGTATCCCAAAATCCTGTAGTCTACGTTTACGTTGTCTACCTCCGACGTGTTTGATGTGGACGCCGTGTCTTCACTGTCCGATAGTTCCAGGTCTGCCTTGAGCGTTCCTAGAGCTTCATCCAGTACGTACAGGCCTAAACTGTTTACATGCTGGTCCTACTGTACTCATCCCTTGTGCTGGTTTAATCCTGAATTTTACCTGGTCCAATTGTTTCTTGGTAAGCACCTCAAATGGGCGTTTATTTAATATTATGTGGCTTGGTTGCCTGTTCTTTAGAGTGATCCTCAAACGTCTACGGTTCCACAAAGTATCCCGGGTGTTTGTCCATGAGGTGTTCTTTGTAAGCCCCATCCCTCCCATATGTATGTTTACAAAGTTTACACTTGTACCAAGTTTTTATAAGTCCATGCACTGTGTCTGCATGTCTTCGTAGATTTCTTAAACTAGCGTATGTCTTGCCACATCTGATACACCGTAGTGCCCGCATGTCTACGTAGATTTCTTAAACTAGTATATGTCTTACCGCATCTGATACACGGTAGTCTAAGTTTCCTTCCTGTTGAACTCGGTCATCAAGCGAT